ATATATATATAGTATGCATACATTATATGCATTGTAAAAGCGTTGGGGAAGTGTAAGCTACTCCATGTACATCACCTTAGAAGCAGGAACAATGTTCAGGTCGATACCCAGAGTTAAGATCAGTTGAACATCAGATGCCTCGCATTGGCAATGGAAAACTTACCAAAGTTATGAGACCCATTACTCATGCTAGAGGAAATATTGACCATGATTTTGGCATGACTGCCCTCAAAAGATTGTCAGGAATAATGTTATCTTTGAGATAAAAAAGTGCCACAATCGTTACCAGAAGCACGCTGCTGGAGGGAGATACTGACCAACCTTATCGCAGCTAAAGTAAAAGAGTCAGCTGCCTGCATGATGGTTCTCTCCTAGTAAACGGCACGTTATGATTTGCCTATGTACATCATGATAGTGATGATACAATAATGAAAGCAAGCCGAAGCTAGTGCCAGGCCATCGAGTTTTTTTTTTTAGAAGAAGAATTTTAAATGCGCAACAGATGTAGCGGGTACAACTTTTGGCAAAATATATATACATAGTTGGTGATGCTAACATACATACATAGTTGGTGATGATAAAAATATCTAACAGTTCTACTAACAGTAGTAAGAAATTGGTCTACTTCCAAATACAATGTATAACAATAAAGTGATACTAATTATACTAATCTAACTCAGGACATGCTTTGTACGCTTTATACGCATTCAAGTTATAGAACTTTCTCGTGAACTCTATCCCAAGCGAATATTGACAAGCACCTTCCCTGTGGACAGTTTTGCTCCAAACTCACCTGCTAAGTAGCTTATACCGCCGGCAACCGGCAGTTTTACATAGGAAAGCAGATTGATCCATTCAAACCGTAAAGATCAAGACTCTGGTTACGGCGTAAAGAATGGACGGGATTTCAAGCAGACTGAATCCAAATACAAAATGTAATTATTTACGGTCTAACCGAAGAATTTTTATCCTCTCCCCCGAATGAAAAGATGATCAAATAAGCATGAAAACTCATCTTCAATGGTGGATAACATTATAACATGGTCAAACTTTCTTTCAATAAGTCAAGAATTAGGAATCGACGCATTCGTGACCGAATCTCGAAACTAATGGGGTTAGACATCCTGTTACATTTCACGAGTTCCATTGTTAAGGGTTTGCATGACTCACCATTCAAAGGAGCTATCTATAGATGGTATCATACATTCTTTTATTCCTGATGCGTTGCACTAATTACAATAAAAGATGCTGCCACAGCAAGAATTCCACACCTGACTAGGCATCCGGGGGTTAAAATTAGCCTTCAAGGCAGTGCTTAAGAGTCCAAATTGGTGGAACGCGCTTAGAGTGTTCGTCTGCAACTCTTCAGTGGCGCCAATGTGTCTATGATCGTCTTCAGCATTGTTTGTCGGTGTGCAGTTGCTGTAACTATGCGGCATGCGGTAATTACTTCAACGTCGCCACTCAGGCAATTCAGGGCTCACTGCAGAAACCACATTTTGTCCTGATTTTCTTTTTTGCTCCCGATTCTACACTAATATCTTAAGTAACCTTCCACCCATTCCAGCTTGTACCCACACATCCATGCACGATTTGCTGCTAGGTAGGAATGATTTTCGTAAAGAAACATGATGATTGTTTTCTCCCTTCAACAGAAAACGATGGATATCTTCTGTATGCTGTGATAGATGTGTTACTCATTGAGCATTTTTTCTCTATGGAATTGTTACAACTAGAACTATATTTGGCGTTCTACATTTGTTAAATTTAAGAAACATAATAGGTAGGTTTTTCTTTCAACACCAAACGATGGATATCTTCTGCACGCTGTGATGAATAACTGCATTTGTCTGGTTTATACCCGGAGGAGAGGTCTGGTTGGAATTTCCTGTACAGTACGTAAAACTGTGTGCGTCATAGGGAGATCTACACGGTAAGGTAAATTAATCAAGCCAGATAGAAGTGGCCAATTTGGTTGGTGCTTTCTGTCATCAGTCTCAGAAGACTATGACTAGCTACGCAAAAATAAAACAGAAAGACGGCACATCCCTAGTACCATACAGAAATAAATGTCCAAAAATCAATTGGTACACAAATTCGGTTCTAGTAGGCAATTACGTCCCTACCACATATTCAGAAACTTTTGAAAATAAATGAGAGTCAAATATGTGACTGTCAACCATGCCCCGACCACCAGCTAACCACACCCCGACCACCAGCCAACCACACCACGACCACAATCCAACCACACCCGGTACCCCGACCACCAGCCAACCACATCCCGACTACCAGCCAACCACGCTCCGACCACCAGCCAACCACACCCCGACCACAATCCAACCACACCTGGTACCCCGACCACCAGCCAAACACCCCCCCCCCGACTATTAGCCAACCACACCCCGACCACCAGCCAACCGCTCCCCGACCACCAGCCAACCACATCCCGACCACCAGTCAACCGATTGATCATGACCGAACCTCCCGTCCACATCCTATTCAACATTCGGCTATGTGACAGAGGCTTCCCGTTTGACCACATGGTTCAAAACACCGTAACTACAATTAATTCCTGGCGGTCAAATGTTATAAAATAGCAATCGCAGTTCTGAATGATGCAACAAAGGCAAGTTAAATCTCCCATAGAAACCTTATAAATATTTCACTTTTCTTTACAAAGTGCGGCTCGTCAGTAAAAGCATGAGAGGGATTAGTAGTGTTTAGCTGTGACCTTTTCAGTTCCATCCACGCATTGTGTAGCTTACTGATAAGGTACCGGGTCTTTACATGATGTATTAAGTTCCGTTTGAACAGCAGTAGAACAGATGGGTGCTGCCGTGTAAAATACGCCGCGTTAAGTCGTATAATTGGCATGGAAATGTTAAGCGTGGGCTCATGAGCCGTCTAATAGTTTTGCTTGAGTGTTTCATCAAGAGGCGAGACGGAAAGTCTTTAGATAAATCAAACCAGAATAAATCTCATACTGAGTATGAATTATACGTACTTTATGCACTTGTCTACAATGATTATTGATATCCTGCAAAAAATAGTAGTATCAATTGGGGCCGGGAATTTTATTTCTTTTTTTACTAGATAGTGACTATCTAGTAAAAAAAGAAATAAAATTCCCGGCCCCAACGGTAATGCAGTGCCGTTCGACTAGCTTGACAAAACAGAAATGATTTGCTAAAACAAAGAAAATATAATTGCTGGGGGACTATGACTCTGTTTTGACGCATCAGACTTTTATGTTTACTGTATGTTGTCCACTCTTGTTTTACTGTATGAAACAATGTCTTGTGTAATTTTGCTGGGCCCCCTTGGAAAACAGCTAATGTAAGCTGAATGGGGCTACCCAGCCATTTTATGATAAAATAAATAAATAAATACCTCCAACAAAAATGGGGGTACAAAAATCAGTTTCATTCATAACCAGTCTAAAGATATTGAAACCATCAATCCCGACTATGATGTATGGTTTGTGACTGACAGTCGGCCCGTCTATGAATAGAATATGAAGACAAAACCCCAGGGTTATCCCAACTCTCCTGGCGAACGCCCTGGACCTTGACCGATCAATCGCCCGTGGCAACGTATGGGAGGCCTTTTGGTTGGTAAGAAAGATGGATGGTCCATGGGGGAATAACATCGTCGGGCAGACTTGGCCCTAAATCTTCCCAATGGGGACACGAGTACTGTAGATGCGGTAGCCTCCGTAGCAGGCTTATAAAACTGGGGGTTTGGTGGTCTTCGGCTGTTTTCTGATTAGCCTCCGTAGCAGGCTTATATAACTGGGGGTTTGGTGGTCTTCGGCTGTTTTCTGATTAGCCTCAGTTCTAAAAAAAAACGGGGGTAATTCAACCAGGCCGGCTATGTTGTCTATATGCAATCAGAAAATAGCACATGAAAGCTCCCAAAGACCATGAAGACCCCCCCCCCCAAAAAAAAAACAACAACAGTTTTTGGCATGCTATGGAGGCTAAGATGTGGACTGGTTTCTGAAAGTAAGGCTTCAGTATGGAATATATATTTAGCTCAGCGTTGGTTGTCACCCATGACAAGCAATGAACATTTCGGAACATTTGAGATTCTAACCTTTGTATCAGTCATCTTTAGATTGCTTCATTGATAACCTAAAACCGTTTATAGAGTATCGTGGGCGAATCCGGCTTAGGTTTGCTAAAGACTGCGAATTCCTGATGGATTTTGGCCTCGAACATGGATTTAGATAACTAAAGGCAAGATTAAATCCAGAGAATCAATCAATCAAGAGATGATGGTCCTTCACATGACAAGTACAAGTCTGGCAGCAGCTAAACAGCTAGCAAGGGGGGTGTTTCAATCTTTGCATCACACATCTGGAGCGTCCTTCAAAAGTACCCTGGTGCAGCTGACAGTGTTACACTTTCTTATTTGTCTTGGGTTCGCTGAAGTCTGAGAATTATTGGGGGGTAAAGAATTTTGCACGAGGTATTAAAGAGGCCATCTACAACATGCAAGGCATTACAACCACCCCTCTATAGACAGGGGGCGCCACAGACTTTCTGCAACCTATGATCAACTGCTTACAGAGCTACGTGTGTTATCTGTATATATTAATTTGATGTCACAGAAGCGGATTCCATGACAAAGACTGGAGTAGTGCAGTCAACTTCTTGTGTTCGAGATAACAGTTTAAACTAATGAAGAGAAATGACATGGCAACCACTATGAGAGTTTTTCTAATTTTGAATCAGACAAATTCCTTCTTTGACGACCAAACGTCAATGATGTCTTTCTGAGATGACAGTGTGGCAGACACGACATCATCTGTCTAGGCCCGATATGTGGATGGTGATTTGCTGCGCTAGCCAACGAGGAGTAAAAGCCTAGCGTCAACGTTTGGCATTTACTGGGATTTAGATAAGACAGGTCATTCTCAACTACGTCTCATAAAAAGAACCACAAGAAGTCATAAGCAGCATAGTTCACAATCAAATGGATGCAATCATAACATTAATCTTGAGTCCATGCGGATTCTCTCTTATGCTTACAGCAGAATTGTTAAAAGTTAACTTTGGGAGTAGAATACAATATGGAAGAAAAGCCAAGGACTGCAGATTTACTGCCAATGGTGTTACTTCACCTGTTTTGACCAGTTAATCAGGTAATAAAATGAAACAGTCTAGTCCTGGAACAAAACATATGACAATACACATGATAAACATTAACACATATCCACAAGTTTCGTTTATGAAGAAGGTACTTGCTATTCAATGCCAAGGTGAACATCTTCACTGGCTAATTAAGAATAAATGTGATGAGGCCAAGAGCCACACAAGCCCGACCAGTTCTATAGTTCATGCCATCCCTGCTCGCTGCAACAGGAAGATGGCCATTGATCATGACATTTCGATTTATCCCACGGTCTCTTAGTTCTACAGTTTTTGGCAGCCAACATTGATGGCGAGCGTTAGCATCCAGATAGGTAAAGCTCCTGTGTGAATAATGCTTCATTTCCTGGCATCCGGCGTGTGGTGGAGGCAAACGGAGAAGACAAGGTTCTCCGGAAGAACGATGGAAACGTTGGGCGTCGTTTATTTTGTTCCGTAAATGGCCTGAGTTCAAAAGTATTGCCTCAAGGAATCTAAGACGAACAGTAAGAAACGTTCATTCCTGTGTCGTGCAATATTGCTGTGGAACGATCTACCATATCCATGGTACCACGGTCAAGACACTGAGTAACCTACCCGGGTTCAAAAAAGCTATCGTAAACAGTGTCACATAAGCCTCAACCTCTAGTTTTTAAATTGTTAATATCGATTTGTGTGTTCATTGTTGATGTTTTAATGTATTTATGTCTTTTTTAGTGTATTCACTGTATTTTCCATGTATATGTGATTATGTAATTCTAATGTTTGAGCCTTGGAAGATTAGCCCTGCAGGGCTAAAATGCTTGGAAATAAATGAAATGAAAAGGCAGGTTGGCCATGTTTTATTTGTGACGTCATGACTCATGGAACTTGCCGACCTTGCCAGCACGACTCATAAATCGGATTGTCTACTGGTTAAAGTTTACCTCACATCTCCCTGCGCTGACATTTTATCGGGGTTCGTGTAAAACTGATCATTTATCCTGACTATGAGATTCAAGTGAACCTTTCAAATATGATATACCTTGAAGGGCAAAACGGTTATTGGATTAATACAAGCAATTCTATTAATGTCGTTATCCGTCTTAGAAGAAGGGAAACGTGATCGCAAAATGATTTATCGCAGAGAGTAATGTATGTAATTGTCAAAGGATGCTGGAAAACGCACTTTGAATTCCTAATAGAGAACAGAAACTACCCTCTGGCAGTATCTAAAGCACGTGAATTCCCTCCTCTGACATTGCCTGTATATCTTGCGTGCTTTTAATTCGCTTTCAGTGGTCCCCGATCCATTTATGTCAAAACGCTTCGTCAAACGGAGTTGTGAAAAGGAGTGTCGAACGCTTTAACTCCTAAGACCCGGTGCTGATATTTCCTAGTAGTAAATTCCTACCCTCTGCCCTCTACATCTTATAATCTTCGGGTCCCTTCAGCCTTCTTCATATTGGTTTGGACTCGTCATGCCATTTTATAGGAGACGTAAAGTCGTATTCCGGAATGTTGGAACCATCTGGGTTTAGTTGCAGTCTCCCCAGCCGTTTTACATCGCGTCAGATCAAACCGCGAGCTAATTTGCAACCATTACCCCGCGCTGCCCTCTGTGGACCCGATCAGTTAGGCCACAGCACGTAAATTTTATGGATGACATCCTCCACAGACTCCAAATCTAATGCGAGCGGGCGAAGAAAAAACAAGGTTTCTACATTTTAAAATTTTGACTCAATCATTGTACAAATGGTTTTGATTCAGTGGGAACATCACATATACACTGCATCAAAGTAAAAAACAAAACATTAAATCAAAGCCTTTTCTTGTCTCCTCTCTCCATATTTATCCACCTTCCGGCATGGCAACAGACATCTTTGCCAAATTTCGGCATGGTGACCACTGTCAGAGGACAACAAAATTTCCCCCAAAACCAGGCGAATACCAATGCACGAGCTGATGTCATCCATAAAAATTACTTGCTGTGGACCAGATAAGTTACGATTCAGTGAACGCACGTACAATCTGCATAAGATCGACGCAATTCTAAAGGTGAGAGAAGAAACGTCAATATCTATTACGTCTTGGAGGCTAACTGTTTAAATCTTGTTATGTTCATAACGGTCTTCCAACTGTAGGGGTCACTTATGTTCCACAATGCAAAATGCAGCATTAACTTCAGCAGGACCCGTAAAAAGGCAGCTTCAATATCAATTCATGAGAAAGGCCTTGGGCGACAATCTACCAATATTGCTTCCGCATGCTTTGACTTTC